AACAAAACGCACGCAGGGAATTAGGAAGTTGTCGTTTGTACAGGTGGTTGTCTTGAATGTTTCTGCTATGGCCAATGAGACCAAAAATTATGAATCTAGTAGTGAAGAGTCTGCCACATTTTTGAGCATTTAAACGTTCATTTTCAGTTGTAGGGGTTCGCAATTTACGGGTTTCTCTCTTGGCTTCAGCATGACGTCTTATTCGTGAAGCCCCGTTTGGTTTGCAGCCCTCTGCCTGTGAAATTGCTTTCTCTCCAACTTGGTCTGTTAATCTTATCCGTACGTCGTGTTTTACTATAGTATCAATACGACGTGGGGAACTCGGTATCACCACTTTCCAAAGAGGAAATTTACTCGTTATTTCGATCTGTACGCTTTGCATAGCAGTCTGTCAAAATCTTTTTTTTTTGGTTGAAATACTGAAAGTTTCAAAGAGATCTTCGTACTAAACGTATTCTAAAATGTGAAGAATACAACCCCGGGGATACAAGTGACCCCAGGGCGTACGGATAGGGTTAAGAGCCTGGCTCTCCCACGTCAACTGATAAATTATGTTGAAACCCTTCAGAGACATTTTCAGGGCGTCTTTATAATGCTACTTTGATGTACCAACTTTACGCTTCCTTGAATACCGCTCAGAAAAAAAATACTGCTTCTGGGATCCTCAAATCAGGCATTTTAACGACATGACCAGCTAAGCAAAATTGAGTCTTTTAGAGCTTCGAAAACAGATTCTCTCTCTTCTTTTCTTCTTGCCGTCGGGGGCCTTAATCGGGGGGAAATCAGGCGCTCGTCAAAATAATGAAATCGAAGAAACATAATGGAATTTTTCTGCCCATTTGGCAATTTTTATCGAATTTTTATTTTTTTGCCTGGACACCTTTAAGATCCATTTAAGAACACATTTCTGTGTGGGTTTTAATGAAAAATGTTGATTTAAGGCACAAAAAATGTAAATTTGCAGTTTCTAAGATCTCTCAAGCTTTGGAAGTTGTCAAACTTTGGCGGCCATTTTCTCGCTAATTTTACCTCTGAAACCAGGCGACCCCCACCTCGTTCAATCGCCAATATCTCGACTTCTATTCATAATATAATATAATTTTTTTTCACCGAAAGCAAGACAAATGAACAAGCTTTTGAAATGATACCAATAACTCCACATGTCCGAAACTTGACGAGCGCCTGGTTCCACCGTGTCATGACAATAATTGTTCTGGCTTCTGCAGTGATTTGATTAGGTTCCTTGTTTCTATAGCAGGCCACAGACGGCAGTGCCATCCTTGTGTGGGAGAGTTTATTTATGCATTGAGCATATTGTGTACCCCCCCCCCTCCTTGGCGGTGCTAATGATTGAAGTGTCTTTAGGCCATTCCCAAAGGGGGGACTTAAACCATGTTCTTATGCACAGTAAAATTGTAATTGTAAATGGGCTGATTCAGCAATGTCATGCTCATAATTAACTGTGCCTGAACTGCAACAGGGAAATGCTGCCTTTTCTTTCCTAATCCTTACTATCGTTATTGTCCTCTACTTTTTTGTATGTTTGCCACACTCTTGTGACCCGCTTTTCTCGGGGTGCCTTGATAGTCGAAGCAGATTTTGTGCTGTTGAAGCTAGAAAGGTGAGCAGAGTACGCCTGATTCCCTGTAAGGGCTTCTCTGTTGACATTCACCCCTTGGCGCTCATATGACCTTATGCAGCTGGCGAGCGCTGTAAAACCTCTACTAAAACAAACAAAAGCACATTGTGTTTGCCTGTATTTTTTGCTGGGATGCTGTGGCCCACTAAATGTAGTCAGCCCGGGTTGACCGTGATAACCAGGGTTGAAGTAGTCGTTCTTCTACATGATTTTATAGGCCTATTGCTTTGTTATGTCAACTTTAAGCTAATTGCAACGGATTTATTAGCCAGCTCAGCAAAAGTATCTATTTTCAGTTTTTACAATGGGCAGCGTACAATATTATTTAACTAAAGCATCAGTTAAGACATAAGTAGCAACACTGATGTTATTGAAGGTTAGATTACGGTAGTGCTAATTTATCCGGTTTGACGACCGAAAAACTACCAACGTTACAAGTACTCCAAAATCAGGCAGCAAAATTGAAAATGAAACAAAGGAAATTAGCGCACGTACCTGAAAGTAGAACTACCCCGCTGCCAGTAAAACAAATAATCAAATGCAAAACTGCCGTTTTCTCTTATGAATGTCTGAATGATACTGCACCTTTTATCTAAAACAATTCCGGATTTATATTATCGCCCATCAAGAGCCTTTAGATCAGCCACTGATAATCTAATTTCCAGAACCCCCAAAACAAAATTACAAAACATGTGGCGAGCGTTCCTTTTTCTTCTTTGGTCCCCACATGAACGAACTCCCATTTTTAAAATAAAAAGATCCCCTGCTATTCACATTTTCCAAAAACAGCTGAAGCATTTCTTATTCACAAATGCATACCTGTTATAACTATTAACTGTCGTATGCCCGATCGTGAAACTGAAGAAATAGCGCGGAAGAAAGGGAGAGGAGAGAGAGAGAGAGAGAGAGAGAGAGAGA